AACTTCCCTCAAGCCAACACAAAACTGCAAAAAAACTGCTGAGTCCCCAGTCACTGGAAGCAGCCTTCAGATCCCACGGTGTAGCTATCTGGCTAAGTCCTTCAAGGCAGCCCCAGCCTGTCACAGTAACAGGCTTCAGAGCACAAACACCCGAACACGAGCATTTCAATTGGCCACAAAAGGCACGCACAGGATCCAAACGACAGTGCTCGATCCGACCCGAGGGACTTGTATTCAGGCTCCTCACACAACTCTTGGCTGCACAGGGCAATGAGGACAAATGGACATTTTCAACAGCACGTTAGGTTGCTGAATGCTTTCTCACACAGGGCCACTTCTTCCTTCAGCCCCTGCCACATGGACTAGCCTGCTGTCAGGAGGCTCCAAGAAGCGATGCTCTGCACAGCCTGAAGGGCTGCTCTCAAAGTGGTGCCTGGCCCATACAGCCAAAGAGCACAAGCCAGCCCTGGCTACACAAGGAGGCCTCTCCCCTTTCCTCCGGTAAGGAGACAGGGCAAGAAGCCCAGAGGAGGATCTTAAAGATCTCGTCAGGCTTAGCCCAATGACCAGCCTAAAGTTGTGCCATCAGCTCTTTTCATTTACAGGATTTATTTCATTTACAGGACTCCTCTGAAGCAGGGACCACCTCTCCCACACTCGCAGAGGGGAAGAGAAGTTCAGTTTGGTAACTCTGGAGCGACTCTAGGACTCCTCTGGGGGAATATTCAGAAACCAGCAATATCACATGTACAAAAGCAGTTGATGCTTCACGCTACAGCATAGCCACACTTATCTACACCACTGGACTTCAAGGGCTTGTACCTACCTCAAGTGCCCCAAGCTATAGTATCGCGACTCTCCGTCCGTTGACCGGACGACCTTGACAGTGAACACGGGCTGCAGCTGCCGTAGCTCCAGCAGCACAATGGCCAGGTAGTGAATGAAGAGCAGAGCATCCACCAGAGACACTGCGTACTGCACTATTCCTTGGTAGTTGGTGTCCTTCGAGTCCAAGATGCGAACACCATAAAACAGCCAGTAGGAAAACACAAACAGGAATATGAGGACCAACAGAAGGGCCCGAAACACAAAAACCCTTGGTATATCTGCCTTGGGCTGGCGGAAGAAGAGAGCCCAGGTCCCAATCAGAAGAATGAGGAGTTTAAATGCCACAGAGATGAACAGTCCCTCACAGACAGTACCACACGGCTCCAGATCATCCCGCCACAGGATCTGGGGTAACAGAATGAAGGCAATGGGGGTAAGGAAGACGAGGAGTCCAAGAACAGCTGCCACTGTTAAGCCCAGGTAACGTTTGCAGTCCAACCCAACGCTGTCCTCCAGATCCTTACTGATCCGGGCAATGTCCTCCTGGGAAATACTGTGCTCAGAGGTGCCTGTGATTGCTGTCGTGGTCTCACCCCAGTTGTCATCCTGAGGAAGAGATAAACAAAAATAATATTGAAACAATCAGGTTATTCCTTCCAGGTCTTTTATTTTTCTTGCCCGGAAAAAGATTGCAACAACAGACTTAAGTCCCAGGAAAAAAAATATAGCAAAAGCAACACCTTCAATAGATTGAATAATCAACCCTGAAAATTAGCAAAGGTTTGGAAACAACAGCAACTTGTCCAAACCAGTCACTGTAAACATTAGGTGTTAAAAACCTGTAACTGTAGAGCAGGTAGCTCAGCTTGCTATGCCACTCACTGTACCCCAGAGGTTCCTCTTCCAGCACACTTAACAAGTAATATCACATAACTCCTGGAAACTGCAGTATTTATCAGTTCTCATGTGCAGGGCAAGGACTAGCACTCTTCCAGCCCACAAATTCTGCGGTGCAAGTGCACCACAGAAGCACCTGGAAGGGAAATTTTCCTTTCAGTGTTTCAAGCCTGTTGTTGTTACACAACCAAAAACATGTTCACACATTATTTTTCCATCCATAACAGAAGCAACTGCACTTCCAGCAAGTTCTTCCACTTTGTTTTCTTTTATTCTCCTCTACGGTAGCACTGCCCTCAATAGCTGACATTCTAATAAAAGTTTAGTTAAACCAACAAATCACAGGTGGTCACAGAGGATATTCTCAGGTATGGGGCTTTAAGTTTAGAGGATCCTAGACTACCAAGTAGCTCTGGTATTTAGAGTCCAGGACATTGTCAGAAGCCACTCAGCCACAAAGAAGCTTACCTGAAATACAGTCACCATATAGTCAAGCTTCAGATTACATTACGTTTTCTGAAAGTCTCATTTCTTCCCTAGCTAATATCAGAGGACTTCTGCAAGTTAGTTCTCCCATCCCACGATGCCTCCAATTGCTCCTTCCTGGTGCTGGCACGGCCAAGAGTTACACTGACATGTATGGATTTGACTCACAGCTGCTGCTGGAGTGACTCATGCACATGAAGACTCCTGATACTTCCCACAAATACACAAACAGTAGCAATGCATGCGCTTTGTTGCTGGGCACCTGACACTTTTGTAGCTGCAACGCCCATTCAGAAGTGCACGTTTTTGCTCTTCCTCCTACCCTCCTGAGTGTATCTTCCTGCAGCCTGTGTCATTAATGGGATTTACACCTTCCCCCAGACTTCTGCAGCTACACATGCTGATCAAAGCATTTTGTTTTAAAGAAACAGGCATCATTTTAAACCTTTATTCACTTCCTTATAAGAATTAGAGTCTTCAAGAATCTTTGGGAAAGGAGTAGACAGAGGCAGCGCAACTACTTTGAACAACTCCAAGGATTTAACTTTTAATGCACTCCGAGACATGAATACCTCCCATGCCTAAAGCAGTAGGGTTTTGAGACAGAGCAACCACAAACAGTCAGCATCTTGAATTAATATGAGGGGTTTTTGAGTCATTTCTCAGCAAAACAGAGGCCCCAGAAGAGATACCTGCATTGTAGTATGTCCTGAAAGGCAGCATAATCCTATCACATTTCCCTCTTTGTCAGTATCTCCAGTAAAGCAATCTAAGCATTTCAACTATTTTATGTTTATGCATGAAATAGCTCTGCATAGTTTCCTCCATTTGATGAACTGAGAAACTGTGCAGAAGAGAGAAGGGACAGAAACAGCTTAAGGCTACAGCCCACAAGACAACAGGCAACCCTAGTCTCAGTCTACCCCTTAGAACAGCTCTTCCCACTTTAAGTGGCACAAGCAAAAAAATGTGCAGTTATATGGAAATATGAGTCTAAATCTCTAGTGGTACAAAGTTGTTGGACCCAACCCAGGGCACCCTGCTCCCTAGGAGGGAAGTCTTGCTCACGCATCAACTTATTTTGCTTTGGCTTTAATCCACGTTGAGGAGGTCTGCATGAAAACAAGGGCTTAAGAATTCACCAGCACCTTTAGATCTATTTGAAGTAATAGCTGGGACTCATGAAAACAAGCATCCAATTACAAAATACCAAATGGCAGTACATGAAGTGAGCCCACCTGTAGCTACATGAATACTGTAACAAGTACTACCTTACACAGTTTGGGTGGACACTGGGCATCAAATTTTTTTTTTGAACGGGCAGAGGTGGAGCCCCACAGTCAAGGATTAATACACCCCAAATCCAGCTCAGGAGGCACTGGAACATCCTGCATTCTATGCCTTGCAGCATCAGCCATTCTTTGAAAACGAATATGCACCTTCACATCAGCTGCTAGAGCACAGAGAGTTCTGGATCCATTCTAGGTGCAATCTAAACCCAGCATTATTCCATTCTTTACTTAACCCAGTGTTAATGTACTAGCTTTCACTGAGTTCACCCTCCTTCCTGGCTATTTTGCATTAGTTCTACATTTCTTGCCTCCTTTACCTACTGGGATCCTGGTCCTAATGTGCTTTACACGATTACCTAGAGCAAATCCTGCTTAAAAACAAAAGTGCACGTACAGGTGAAAGGGTTGACCTGAATAATGCACAGTGAGATGATGGAAACAGATGTTTCTATAGAGCTTGGCAGATGACGCTCTGGAGACAGAGGCAAATTAGTGCCCCAGGAGTAGTCACATCAGCACTGGTGCTGTCAAAAATAATCCTCTCAGAAAAAGACAAAACTGATCGAGACCTTGGCTTTATGCATGAATAAAGGGTACCCATAAGTCGTGATTCTTTACTAACAGCACGCGAGCAACACTTTTTTTCCTATTCATGTGCTGGTAAGTCATATGCTCTGTTCCAGAAACCACACTCCATATTTGCTTTCACTCCCTCCTTACCTGGCCCTCCTCCGCCCGAGATGCATCGTTCCCAAGCAGCGGCTCTGCAGGAGGTGTCTGGATAGTGACGGACTTCTCAGACCGACTGCCATCTTTGCTTCGTGGCGATTTGTGCCTGTCGCGACTCCTTTTCCAAACAGAGCAAGAGGAGAACAACGTTACCAGATAGTTTCTGGAGCAGGGCCTGGAATCTGCTACACCTCTACCTGCAGCAGGTGCCCTAAGCATTAGGTCATAGTCATGCATGCCCATCTCTTGATCAATATTGACTCAATCTGTGACAAAACAAGGTTTGGAAGAGGTAGAAAGGGACCTTGCCCAGAGCAGCCCTACAGCCTGGTGGCTGGGACAGTTTACCCTCTCAGTGATTGGAGAGGGGAGCAAAGGGGACAGGGGTACATCCCCACCACCTCATCTTCTCTTAAAACAGCTTCTGCCAGTGCTGCGCTTGAAAGTGAAGCTTGCATTCTCCAAACAAGTGGCAACTCCATTTGGGATTAACTGGTCTACACAGGTCTCCACCTGCAATAAAGCGTCTCACAGGGACGTGTACAGTTAACACAAGGAATTAATCAAGACAGCTTTAGTTCCTGCAATGTAGAGTCTTGTCAGCTAGGACCTTAACACTGTAGGACAATTGGTGAAGTTTATTTCCACTGGTTAATAACCCCTAGTTAAACTCTTACAAAAGAGAGCAAGAACATGAAGTGTACCAGGCTAGTGCTTACTTCCAGAGTAGCCCTGTAGACCTCACAGCTTCTCATCTGAGAATGGTGGGGCTTAACTCATCTTGAGACAATCCGCTCACCAATACTTTCCTCCCGCTTGCTACCCGGACAGGAAAGCAGCCTTTGCACCAGAGACCCTCACTGTGCTCAGGGACTGGCTTAAAGCTAAGGAGCAATCAGGGTCCCAGCTATGCTCTCTCCATTGCATGTCTCTTGGAATTACCCAAAGCCCAAAGGTTTCATGGGATGAGACTTTTTCCTGTTCACAGTGAGAGGATCTAGGATTTTTATGTTGTTCTGGGAACTCTGAATCTTTCCACATGGCATTCTAAGCTTCAAAGGGCAATCCCTATTGGGGGTGGGGATCTTAAAGAAGGGAGAAAAGGCAAATGAGATGTTTTACTCAATAACTGGACTGCAAGCAAAGAGACTTCATTTCATGGAAGAATTCTTTTTTCCAACCACACAGGATAATTGCTTCTGAAACGCAAAGTTATTTTGGACCAGCTCAGTTCTAAGTTGCAAAGACTGTAAGTGGCACACGTTTTGCATGTAAAACTAATGATGATGCAGGAAAAAAAAGGATAATGTTTCCAAGTAATCAGAAGTTTCAGAGCAAGATGGTTTTTGAGGCTGCTGAACTACCACAGAGAGGACTTGCTATTCAAGTTCAGAAAAGCCTGACTTCTAATCCAATCAGTGCTGATAAAGGACTTGTTGTGGACTCAAATACCACTCAAATTCTATTAAAAAAACCCAACACACCAGCAACGGAGTAGCCAGGAGGATGGTGGGGAAGAGATAGGAAACCTTATTATTACACAATAAAGAAATGGCATCAGAAGAGAAGACAACTGACAATTACCAGTTTAGGAAGTCTGACACGTCTTCTCCCCAGAGACTCTACTCATCCCTTGCACTTTAAGAGCAGAGTTAAGTGATCTTTTCCTTGTGTTGGCACTATCCCAATCTTTCTGGCTACACATGACCCCAGCGCGCATCCAACAGGTTGAATATCATTAAATTAGCAGCATTATTGCTTCCAGTCTCCTCACTGGGTTCCTCATGAGGACTCTCCACATGGATCTCCTCCAGAGCTGTGGCCCCACTGACTTCATCCTGGCTTACAATTTTTTTCCAGGGGACATGTCCTAGCTTAGAGCAGTAAGTAATTAAAAATAAGCATTTCCTTACCCTTGTCTGTGGGCTTTTTTGGAGTGACCTGAGTAGTGGGAGTATCCCGAATATGTCGATTCTGTATCCATTGCAGCAGACATTGGGTCTGCACGGAAGGGGCACGGATTTTACTTAGAAGACGAGTTCCTGGTGCTCCTGAGGTGGAGTCCGTGGTAAAAGTGCTTTCCTGGGTGCTCTTTGCTTCCCAGTCATCAGTGAGGTCTGGTCCTCAGACAGCAGGCGAGCTTCACTTACAAGGAATCTGATCAGAGGGGAGGGAGGGTGCTCAGCTTCTTACGATCGACCTAAGGAAAGAGGAATGGTCATGGAAGGACACTCTAAGCAAATCACGACATCGTTCCTACTGCAGCAGTTCCCTCACCCTGGCCATATGTCACCACTCATCACACTGTGCCCAATTCGCAAGCTCGCCCTGGCCGATATCTCTCTTTTCGGCCTAATGAAAGATATGCATTTGTAGAGCTTTAAACAAACTGATAATGTATCTCTGTTTTGCAAAGTCTAGCTCATTTGTTTAAAAATCCGGAAGAAACAGCATAAGTCACCTGGAAAAGACAGTGACTTGGAGAAGGCTCAGCAGCCTAGATACAGAAATTCACCCCCAGAAAAAGTACTGGGCTCGACTTCCACATCCCCATCTCTTCACCTGTGTAACGCACAGCCCAAATACCCCCAGATTCAGAACGGCACCTTTATAACCTATATATAGTGGGAAGGGGTGGGGGGTGAGGCTGACTTTCCTAGGAGAAATGCAGGAGAGGATCAGACCACCATGTCCAAACCTGCTTTGTTTTCACAACTGCAAGGTGTGCCCATTTTACAAGCATTAGTTACTATACAATCCACGGCACTATAAGCACCTCCCTTTCTTTGCAACCTTTGCCTCCAGAACCTAATTTGGGCCTTGAAGAATTGAATTTTATTAAAAATCATATCTATATATACACATACTAATAACACTGGGGAGAGTTGATTAGAGATCACATCTAGCTTATATGGGCCAACACTTCTTACAACGTACTTCCATTTGGAACAGAAGCTTAAGTCTCATCCGTAAAGGGCAGAAGAGGGTCATTGTTTTTGGAACAGGAGCAGGGCGACACCAGAACAATTCCCAACAGTGACATGTCAAAACCCCTGAACCCTGTGGGGAAGAAGGGTAGACACCAACCTGCTTCCCAAACCCACACCCTGCGTTAGGTGGGAAGAGAAATGGAAAGGAGGGGAGTTAGTCACCAGTCTGGGGAAACGCACGCAAATGGTGAAGAGGTGCAGATGGATGGGTTGCAGCGACGGACGGAGGTACCTTGGCACAGCCCAGCATTTGGCACAAAGGAGCACTCTCACATGCCTCCTGCCCAGACAACTGCTGCCTCCAGCCAACACAGGGCTACAGCCATGCTGTACGTTCAGAGCGGGCAAAAGACCGCTTTAAAATTAAATTAGATCCCTCCGTTATTTTCTGCTCACAGCAGTTTTCAAAGCTGTTAGCAATAAAACAGTCAACCGCTGCCCTCTCTCCCCAAACACAGAGGGACAACAACAGAAACCGGGCTTTATACTTGGCCAACTATTCTTTCCAGCCATAAGATTCCTCCACTAACACCTCCAGAAAAGCTCGTAAGCGAGCAGAGAGCTCTACCACATGCAAGCTGTACCAAAGAACGAAGCCTCTTGCCCACAGGGTTCCTTGGCTGGCAGTGCAATCTGCAACAAAGTAAAGAAGCATTCCCGCTGCATTGGGAGCTGCAGGTATTTGCACAACACTTGGGCTTGCCAGGGCTCTTGGAAAGGAGAAGGCGGGGGGAGGACCTTTTGTGTACAGGAATTCCCAAGCTCTAAGGGCATTATCGTGCCTCAAGAAAGCTCCTTAAAGGCAGCACAGAATCTAGCGAGGATAAATAAGGATCGGAACGAAAGGCCTGGTTTTGGGAGGGGAGGAATGAGGATGAATTTAAACACAGCAAGACATAAAGCCAAGGCACGGCACAGTTTGGAATATGGCATCATTACTGTAACAGGAATAAAAATTCCCCAGCCTGGGACACATGATGTAACACTCTAACTCCCTAGACTTGCACACAGCCTGTAGCTTAAGGATCCAGCAATAGGCTGGGACTCATTAAACCTGATTTTTACCTCTGTCCTGCTACGCAACCTTGGACAAACCCTTCCTCTGTGTCCGTCCTCCAATAAATGGGGGTGAGGCCACCACCCCCCTGCCTTCAAAAAGCGCTATGATACCTGTAGAGGAGATGGCTACACAGGACCTTGGAAACATTAGGCATTACAAACCAGGAACACCCTCAGTTGTACAAAAGGTGACAACAAGTAGTATGGGCTTAAACCACTGACTATTTGTGACGTTACTGGCGTCCCTTTGAGAACAACCACTGTCTTCACAAATACATACCACCACATTACAGGAATAGGGAAAGCAAGGAGAGCTGCCGGCATACATCAGTAAGGGTTACACGTTTTTCCTTGGCCTCTGGGGAAGTAACAACTCCCAGCCTTTTCCTCTAACCACATAACAGACTTCCCCCCAACTCCCAGACTGAAGAATCAGAGCTGAGACCAGGACTGGGAGCAGAGCCCCTCTTCTGCCCCCTCTCAGCCCCAGCAGCACAGGGTCACGCTTCCCTAGAGACGTCGGAGAACATTTCAGCAGGTAGAGGCTGCTGTGGAAATGCACAGGCTGCCTAGACAGGAACCATGAGCGAGCGGTGCCCATTTGACGGTGGGTGAAGCAAGGCAGTGCTGGGCACCAGGCACAGAAAGCACACTCATGGAAAGACCAACACAGGAACATCGGGGCAGGCTGGATCATGCCAACTTTCATTTTCTGTGTAAACAAGAGCAACGGTTTTGACACAGCTCTGTGAAAAGTCAATAAGGCGGCCCTCAAAAATGTCAGGCCTCCTGGATTGTTGTCAAAAGCAATACAATGAACCTGGCGACTCTGCACCACCTCTGGGCCCCAGCTGCAGGACACACCGGTGGCTAAACAGATCTTCCTGCCAAGGCAGTTACAGGGCTGCCGGGAATAAAATATATCTGCCCAACTTCAGCTGGAAAAAGCAGAAGACCACCGGCTTTGTCTGGTGCCCAACTATGGCTGATCTTCAACAAGGCTTCCTAGATTTGGCCAACAAAGGATAGCCTGAGCTGCTAGCTAGACACCACTCCCAGTCTGAGCAGGATGATATGAAGAAACCAAGGAGGGAGGAGCACAGTCCAAACACACACTCCTCATAGCCAAACCAAGCAAGTTACCTACCTCCTGGTCTATTTTACAGAAGGAAGGGGACCAGCCTTACCCCAGAAAAGAGATGGTAAAGAAGCAGCCCCATCACTGGGGCCTCATCCCTCCACAAACAAGTGTGAATTGAGAGCCCAATTTAGCCAATTGAAACAGCTTCACAAAAGATCATTACATCTTGCAGGACGCCACTGAAGGCATGGTCTGTTTGCAGAGCTTCTGGCCCTGCGTGAAAGCAAGCTCCTTCAGCCCGAGGGTACAGTTGCACTGTATTTCAGCATTGACAAGAAAGTCGGTGTAAGTAGCTTCCACCTCCACACCACGGTTCACCACTCTCAGTTGTGTCAACACAATTCTCAGCGAGCAAACAGCACCGCTGGCAACAAAACAACAAAAAAAATCCCTTTTCTCCCCCTCGCCATGCTTTCGTCTTGGATCCTTTCCGTGACCTAGTTCACAGCACAGCCCCAAACAGCAAAACCAACACCAGGGTGAACAGCAGCGCAAGCGAACAGCTAGAGGGGAGATGGGAATGCCTCCTCCGCTCCAGCCATGACAGTTGTGTAACTGCACACCCAGCACTTTGCTCCCAGCAGGGCCGGCACTCTCACTTTGCCTTTCCCTTACTCTCCAATGACAGAAGGATGCCAAGTACTAGATGGAAAACAATGCTAAGGATGCCCCAAAGGAAAATTTGGGGCTCTATTCTGGCAAGAAGGATAGCCGCATCCTGCATGACAGTGAAGAAATGTAGTTACCCCTGAATACTGCAGAGATCACTGTAATTACAGTTTCTACGCAGTTACACTATTCATTGTAACTCCCTCTTTTCATACGGTCATAAATCTCCAAAAAGAGTTCTTTTGAATCGCTATTTTCCATGCTGGGAGCCCAATCCCATTTCCAATGAAGTTCACTTTGTGATCGTCTTCAAGGGAGCACAATTTGGCTCCCAGCCCAAGGGAAATTTAAAAGAGCAAGTTACATCTTTAAATCAAAGAGGGCAAACGCAAACAAGAGTGCTCTTTTACATCCCATGCTTTCCCAATGGATTTTCCCCTGTGAAGTCGAGGCAAATAACTCCAAAGCTGCTCAGCTTTGAAATCCTTGTCTGTATAGTTTCAGTCTTACCCTGTTTAAAGCTTGCCATCAATTAGAGTTGATTTACCAGTTGGTTCATGAAGTTACATATATTTGGAAGTGCCATCTGGAGCACAAGCAGCCACAAGTGTCCGCCAGGATGTGCACACATTCAGCTCCATACACTGTTGGCCTCACTTGTTAAACAGCACCAGCTGTCTATAGGGTAATAGATGCCCACGAGCTATCGTGTTGAGAAATCTTTTTTCCTTGTTTAGTGAAACGAAGAGCTTTACAAATTAAACACGCAGAACCCCAAGAGCTAAGCTATAGGATAGCGTTAGGGTTCAAGAGTAAAAATAATTAAAAGATGGCTAGGCAGCGAGGAAGCCTTCCAACCCTGGCATTAACTTGGCTGCATGGTATGGCTGCAGCGTATTCCTATTATTCACTTCAGAAAAATGAGAAGTTACGTAACTTGCTGTGTTCAACTGCATATATAGTTAAGACCTATGAGCAATGCCACAGGAACCTTTTGCTTTTTAATTTCCTGAGGAGGCCCAAATCCAGCCATTTGATCTGTAAGCACAGAAGTTTACCCATGCTGATCTACTCGCAGAGCCAAGGCTGTCAGTTTTAATGGCCAACAAGCTTTGGGAAACAAGGTTTTTCCAAAAGCTTTCTATTTATTTTTGCATGTCATTAAATAAGGTTAATTTTGGCCTTAAGTATATATAT